TGCGGGTTCCAGAGCTTCAGCGTCTTGTCGCTGCCGCACGTCAGGCAGTAATTGCCGTCCGCTGCGGGGGAACGGGGATCACCGGGAGCCCCGTGATCACCGGGACCCCTGTACCGGGGAACGGGGATCACCGGGAGCCCCGTGCCGGGGAACGGGGATCACCGGGAGCGGGGGATCACCGGGAGCCCCGTGATCACCGGGACCCCTGTACCGGGGAACGGGGATCACCGGGAGCCCCGTGCCGGGGAACAGGGGATCACCGGGAGCAGGGGATCACCGGGAGCCCCGTGCCGGGGAACAGGGGATCACCGGGAGCGGGGATCACCGGGAGCCCCGTGCCGGGGAACGGGGATCACCGGGAGCGGGGGATCACCGGGAGCGGGGGATCACCGGGAGCGGCCGTGATCACCGGGAGCGGGGGATCACCGGGAGCGGCCGTGCCGGGGAACGGGGATCACCGGGAGCAGCCGTGATCACCGGGAGCCCCGTGCCGGGGAACAGAGGATCCTCGGGACATCCATACCGGGGAACGGGGGATCACCGGGACACCCGTACTGTGGAACAGGGGGATCACCGGGACATCCATACCGGGGAACGGGGGATCACCGGGACACCCGTAACATGGAATGGGGGATCACCGGGAGCCCCGTGCCGGGGAACGGGGGATCACCGGGACATCCATACCGGGGAACGGGGGATCACCGGGAGCCCCGTGCCGGGGAATGGGGGATCACCGCGACACCCGTACTGTGGAACAGGGGGATCACCGGGACCCCCGTACCGGGGAACAGGGGATCACCGAGACCCCTGTGCCGGGGAATGGGGGGATCACCGGGAGCTCCGTGCCGGGGAACGGGATATCACCGGGACACCCGTACCAGGGAATGGGGGATCACCGGGACCCCCGTCCCGTGACACGGGGGGATCACCGGGACACCCGTACTGGGGAACGGGGGATCACCAGGAGCCCCGTGCCGGGGAACGGGGGATCACCGGGAGCCCTGTACCGGGGAACGGGGGATCACCAGGAGCCCCGTGCCGGGGAACGGGGGATCACCGGGAGCCCCGTACTGTGACACCGGGGGATCCCCGTGACCCCCTGCCTGGACACGGGGGCATCCCCGGGACCCCCACACCGGCACTCCCCACCCGGTTCCCGACCTCCATCCCCGTGTCCCGCTCTCTTCCCCCGCCCGGTTCCCCCCGGTTCCCCCCGGTATCCCCGGTATCCCCGGTTCCCCTGATATCCCGGTTTCCCCAGTTCCCCCGGTTCCCCCGGTATCCCCGGTATCCCGGTTTTCCCAGTTCCCCCGGTTCCCCCGGTATCCCGGTATCCGCGGGTCGTTCCCGGTCTCACCGTTGAAGCGGGCGGCCCGCACGGCTCCCTGCCCGCACTGCAGGCTCTGCACCCGCTGCCGGGGCAGCTCGGGCCGGGCCGGCCGCGGCTTCGGGAACGCCATGGCGGCACCGGGGCGGCACCGGGGCGGCACCGGGGCGGAACCGGGGCGGAACCGGGGCGGAACCGGGGAGGCACCGGGGGCGGAACCGGGGCGGAACCGGGGCGGCACCGGGGCGGCACCGGGGCGGAACCGGGAGCGGCACCGGGAGCAGAACCGCGGCAAGCACCACCGGGGGCGGCACCGGGAGCGGCACCGGGGCCGGAACCGGGGCCGGCACCGGGAGCAGAACCGCGGCGAGCACCACCGGGGGCGGCACCGGGGCCCGGGCTCCTTCCGGCGGCGGCGGCGGAAGAG